CTTTCTTAACTAGTTTAACTCCACTCCAAAATTTTTTCGTATTTTCCATTAAAATTTCTTGACAGTGCTCTCCCACCTCTTATTCATCTGCTTTCTTTTTGCACACTCCTCACCACTCTCTTTACCTTTCTTTTACTCTCCATATACTCTGTCTTCTTATAACACTTCTGCTTTTTGTAAAAACTTCGTAAGTACATTTTTTTCTCTTTTTACAACCTCGCATGGCTTACGGAGAAAGATTTCTTATTTCCACTTCCCCATTTCTTTCTTTCAACACCACCGGTCGTTATCCCACGAGGCAGGGTGGCCCCAAAAAGGAAAAAACGAAAGTTTCTCCTTTTGCATTTAATATATACAGGAGAAGGGAGTACTGCCCCTTGCTCCCGGCACTTTTTGTCGCCTTTACAACACGCATGCTTACGGAGGAAGAATTTGTTTCCACTTCCCCATGGATGTAAGAGGAAAAAATAAACAAGAACTAGAAGAGAAAAATAGAAGACAAACACAAAGGGGGTGTGTATATATATGCTTGTACAGTATGTGTAGTGTGACCTAAGTGTAGTAGAAGTAGCAAGGTGCATACCTGAAATCTTTTGAATGTGTATGAGACAGGAAAAAAAAAAGTCCACCGCAATCCTCACATCGTGTAAAACAGTTACAGGCTTCAGTTTTACATTCACTTGCAGACGGTAGTACTCCCTGGCAGTTGCTGTCTACCAACCTACTACCCCATATATAAATATAATATAGGGAACGGTTACCACCTCTTGAGCTGTTCTGGGAACCCTCATCTCAGAGAAAGAATAAACTTGCTTCAGGGAAAACTCAAGGTTCTCCCTGAGGCTGTTTGAGGAATTTCTCTACCACCCCCCTATATTTCAAGTATATTTTATTTAAGACAAAATACATTGTGTGTGTGTAGGTATGTATGTAATATATATATATATATATATTATATATATATATATATATATTTATATATATATTTATAATATATATATATTTTTATATATATATATTTAGGCAGTTTGGGAGGGATATGTGGTGTATCTTTTTTATGTGTATGCTTCTAGGACTGTTGATTCTGAGCACCTCTGCAAAAAACTGTGATAATGGTGCGAGTGTGGTGAAAGTTGTTGAATGATGATGAAAGTATTTTCTTTTTGGGAATTTTCTTTCTTTTTTGTGTACCTTGCCCTCGGTGGGATGACAGGCCGACTTCCGACTTGATGTTTTGATGAAAAAAAAAAAAAACGTATTTACATAATACACACACACACACACACAACACCCTCTGGGTTTTCTTTATTTTTTATTTGTTTTTGTCTTATTTTTTTCTCTCGTCTCTCACTGGGAAGTGGAACAGAATTCTTCCTGTAAGCCATGCATGTCGTAAGAGGGCGATTTTAAAATGCCTGGAGAAGGGGCTAGTTAACCCCTTCTCTATATAGTTATAAAGTTAAAAAGATAAACTTTGTTTTTACTTTTTGGGCCACCCTGTCCTCGGTGGGATTACGCCAGTTGTTGGAAAGGAAACAGCCCTTAAATTTTTAACGATGCTGAATTATATTACACAATACTCAGATAATTTTTTCAATTTTTCTTTGTCTTGGTTGTGTGGTACTTCCTGAAGCAGCCTGTTTGTATAGTTTTTGGGATTACCACTTCCAACCAACAGTTTATGACTCATTGTGACTTTTATAGTTTCACATGTTACTCCAGTTTATTATACTAGCAAATTTTTGGGTAGCATGTACTAGTTACACCATTTGGAGACATCCAGGATTTTTCCTAGTTTAAACAAACCAATGCTTTAAATTGCCACAGTGAGGGCATATTTGTCCAGAATCACCAGTTGATAAACTGAAGCTGCTGTATCACTAGAGAATGTGTGTGTGTTTATATTCTCTGCCTAATCTATGCCAGCAGTCTCTCCTCAGATAATTTTGTACTTTAGAGCCATGATAGTGTAGCAGACTTAAAATGTTTATGTACATACTGTAGGGCCCCACTTATACAGCAGGTTAGGTTCCAGGCTACTGCTGTAAAGTGAAACATAGCCTTTCTTCACATTTAATGTATATAAAGCTTGATAACATATTTACAAATCATATATTAAGTAGCAGTACGAGCGGGCCTTTAAAATGCATGAATAGTACAACACATTACTTACCTTTAAAATATTTTCAATTAAGCTTATACAGTGATGTGAACATAACTTTATTGTACGAAGTCCAAATAAATGAAAGAATTGGTGTAAATTGAAAACCACAGCATTAGTGAACATGCCTAAGTGAGCGCTGTTAAAGCAGGGCCCGCGGTATTTGTTTGCAGCCAATGGGCTCTGGTACACAAAATGTGGCCCTCATGATAGCAAATCATATTTTACACCACAAATAAGTGAAACACCTGTACATATATTAGCAACTGTACCCATTAATTCTCTACAAATACCAATGTTTGTACCAAAAAACAGTTTGGAAAAGGACTATAAAATACAAAGATCTCTACCAGGGAACTTTAAAAAATGCAAAAAACAATGTCTAGGTCAGATATCTGACCTTTTGCTTTCATTACATTTTTAATCCTTTCTATTTGGCATAAGGTTGCGTTGCAAATATTTTTTATTTTGTGCTACAGTTCACTTCCACCCCCCCCCCCCGAAGTATAGTATGAACTATTGTTAGAATTATATTTCTTTATATGTGAACATTCTGGAATTATTCTCCATGGGCATGTTGGAACTAGAATTCTCTTCAGTAATGCCAGCATTGTCCTATGAGGCAACCAATATGCTTGGGAGCAAGGGGCAGTAACCCTTTTCTCCCTGTATACATTACTAAATTTACAAAAGAACTTTTCATTTTCATTTTTTTAGGGCACCCCTGCCTCAGGGGATATGGCTGGTTTGTTGAATAATAATAAACGACAAAAAAAGGAACAATACCGTAACTGGAACAATACACAAATAACCCGCACATAGAAGAGAGGAGTTACGACGTTTTTTTTTTCCCCATCGTTAGCTCCTATCTTCTATGTGTGGGTTATTTGTGAATAATAATTCTGACTTTTGAATTCTGAGTGTCTTGATCCTGATTGAATTCTCTTATCTTATTTGACATGTATTCTTAGAAAATGCTTTACCATGAGTAGTTAAAGCCTGCAGTTCCAAACCCACTAATAACAAATGCTTACATATATTGCAAATTACCTTGACTTCAGTGTATGTTCACATTGATAAGTTGTCTCAGACACTTATTAACTGTGGAACCCAGAACTCACAATGGAGGCAGAAGTGAAACAGAATAGCAGGGCTTTAAAATTTCCAGTCTCAAGTGAGGTTGAAGAGGTTGTATTTAATCATAAACCAAGTTCTAACGTTTACCCATAAGGATTAATAAAAAGGTTGTAATATACAGTCTTCTAGATTTATAGTTACATTTGTCATTTAAGGTTTTGGGGTCACATGCTTGTTAACATCATATTTCTTCAAAACTGTTTATTTTGTGTATTTTTACTTCAGAAGAGTAATTAAAAAATTAATTTATTGCTGTTAATTTTTTCCCATCAGGTCCTTACATGCAAGGACCCCTGGTACTGATAATAAAGGAGATCTTCAGGTGCAGTTGACCCTCACTAAATTTAAATCCAGTAATCACATTTTTTTAAATTTTTGATGGGGTTAGGCCAAGTTAAGAATGGGTTTTTAGAAAGGTTTAAGTTTATTATTCCAGTCCTAAATCTAGCCTGTTGAAAGTGTGTCGGGCCCTGAGATGAATACTTTTTTGATCTTAGTCTATGTTGCCAAGACGGTTTCAGAGCATCAAAAAAAGTTCCTTGATAATGTGGAAATCTAAAAGTGTTGGAAATTCTCAGTTTTCTTCACATGGTTTTTTTTGTTTACCATTTGATTATGTAAAAAAATCCTCACAAGTTAAAGGGTGGGTAATAGTAATTTAGAGAGTAGTGAATATATGGTATTCTTGATTAAAAACATTTCTCAGTTGTTTCCCCCTTTAATCACAGATGGGATTGGGTTTCAATTCGCAAAGGTGGAGATGTTGGGTAGTTTCCTCCCCTTAAAACCCTGAAGGAAAAGGGAAAAGTTTGGGGAAATATTGTAAAGGTATTAATTTTGGGGATTGTGTATATAAAATTGTTTGAGCAGGGATTATAGCGGGTTAAAGGCCTTTGGTCTCCAGTGTCGGGGATTGTTGGTTTGACCCTCAATAGGTTAAAAAAAATATTTTGTCTGTTGTCACCTTTTCAAGACGAAAAACGTAATGGTGAAAGCATCACTTTTTTGGGTCGCCTCCTGGGTGGAAACACCATGTTTTAAAAAAAAGTGAAAATGGTTGGGGGAGGAGAAAGTGGGGTGATTGTTTTTTTTTCATGAAAATAAATTTGTCTGTCAGTGATGACCCTCTTCAGTTTCACTGGTTGATTACTATGGGTGCACAAAGCAACTGCTCCCTTTGGGGATGTTGTAGAACGCAGCGTGTCCCTTGATTTGCCGCACAAATTTTGTTTCCTCATGTTTTGTTTTGCTTTATTTTCCATAACTCTGATCTACTGTTGTTTTGCATCTTTTTAAGTTTAAATGGATAATGATGAAAAGTTAAAAAAGTGAAAATAAAAAATTTAGTAAACCTTTTTGATACATTTTTACTCTTGATTTGGTTTTATAAGTACATAGCTAAACGACAACGTTACAGCTTTTAGGGGGTATCGATGCGGGTAGCCCATGCAAGGTTTCCTTTACTCCATGATGAGGTGTGTACATAGTTGCAATTGTTAGTTTGATTTTAGAGACACCAAACCCCCAAAAACCCAAATAAAATTTTTTTTTTCTTAAAACATTGCCTGTTTTCCCGGATGTAGGAGGAGTGCTATGGTGTTGTACGTGTGTTTGGGGCGCCATTCTACGGATATTTGTGTTCTTGTAGGCATGTGAGAAAATTCCTAACAGCTTCACTAATGTAAACTATCATATCCATCAGGTGATGCTGTAGACTCCTCTGTAGGGTGCGGAGGTCCTTGTGATGTCTCAGATGGTTTTGGCACTGGTTTTACGAATATAGGGCCACTGTGTTTTTTGTGGGCCGAGGTAATGTATATTTTTATTCACTGTTCTGGTTTCTGGCATTGACGTATATCGTATCTACTTTGTAGCAAATTATTATTATTATAATCAAAAAGAAACTTTGTAGCAAAATCAAACATGATGAGGGAGTTTGAGGTTGGAGGTGTTTTCTGATTGGTCTTGCTAATCTCTAAGTAAATCATCAATTTGAGAATAAGTACCTGCAGGGAAAAAAAAACCAGTTAAAATGCCTTTCTTTGGTTTCAATCACAATGGGAGTAGGGAAGTGAAATTTGATCATCCTTTTTGGAAATTTTAGTTTAAACTCCTTTTGCAAGCCCGTTCAAGGAAGGTGCATGTTATCGGCTTTTTTCTCCCCAAAGGGGAAAGTATTGAGAATACTGGTTTAGTTGCTCCTTTTAGGGGGTGCTAGTTGAAGCACCTGAGTACAATACAAAGGCATAATCATTGTATGCCATCCAAGTGTGTATCAAAAAATAATTTGGAGTCTTTTTTAAATTTTAAAAACGTAGTTTGGGCTAAAATAGTCCCCCCATAGTGATCCCATGTCTAAATAAAATTTTGCTGTATTTTAAAGGTCCAAACAAAAAAGTTAAACTGACATTTCTACCGTTATGGCGTTAGGATGGATAGTTTTGAAATTAAGTAAACGGGTTTGCGTCTTGGTTTTTTAGCCATTGCATCCTGAACACAGTCTCCCTTTTTGTTTGCGTTTTGTGGTTGAGTTTTTTTATGTTTCAACCTTTTAATTTGCCTTTGCAATGAAATCCCCTTTAAGCTGATTACCTTGAACACTTGGGGGAAAAGATGCTTAAACGCCCCCCTCAAGTGAGGCCCTTGATTGGTGAGGGGCTCTTGATTGGGGAAAATTGGATCTTGCCCGGTACCTGAATTGACCCCTGAATCCCTTCCACCCCCCCCATTGCACTGTAAAATCCTACGGGTTTAGGCCCCCAAAATTTAAAATTTTTTGCTTCAACTTTTTCCTTATCACATCACCGGATGAAGCAAGTGACAGCATCGAGTCATTACCCCTTTCGGGGTCCGCCCCGTGATCAGGGTTTTTTACTTTCGGGTCCAAACCGTAGATCTACCCCTGAGCTCACTCACTTGATAAATGTGGTGGTACATTTGGCCTAGATATGGAGAATACTCTATGGGGGATGTGTGCCCACATAAAAAACATCCTGCAGCACACTGTGTATAATGAAAAAAAAAAAAATGAAATCATGATTTTTCGTTTAAAAACAGAAAATTTGAGTGTTTTTTGTATGTTTTTTATAGTGTTTTGCGTTCGGGTTCTTTTGATAGAATGGAAGACAATTACAAAAATAGAGATTTTTTTGTTTGGTTTTAGATTGGAAATGGCTTGAAAGACTCAAATGCGGAAATGTTAAATTTTTGCCGTTTTTCAAGAGTAAACAAACGACCCAACTCTAAACACGCAATGGTGGGTTAATATACATTCACAAATATGGTGATTATTTACAATTTTTACAGTTTTGCATAACAGTAAATCTTCTATTTTTTGGTTGGAATAAAAAATTCATTGTGAAAAAAAAAACAAAAATGGAATTTATTGTAAAGCCTCAAAAATAAAAATAAACAGAGGAAAATGTTAGTTTGTGCCGGGAAATGCTACTTTGTTCATTCGGACCCTATTTTAAAATTTGGGAAAATATTTTGAATTTTGGGGTTAAATTGGCCAAATTAAAAATTTCCGTCACTTTATTTTGTATTTTGAAACAGTTGATTTGGGCGTTTCTTGTGCTCAATCGATAGAATAGAAGTTAAAACAGTGAAATAGCTAAAATTTTGGGTTGTTTGGGAATAATGTAATTGGCCAAAAATGGGGTCAAAGTGGCAAAATCGCCCCGATTGAATTCGTGACACATAAAAAATTTGCGAGGGCATAATTTTGTAATTTTCCACCCTTTTTTGTTTTTTTGTTTTATTACCTTTCCAAAAAGATTCCTACGATTTATAAGAAAAAATAAAAATTATTTTTTTGAAAATTCTTGGACCTGGGGTGACTCCAATTTGGGCTTGGACCCTAAAAAGGGTTTTATACAGGAAGTTTTCAACTTTGAAGCTTTTGGGGACCTCATAATTTTATATAACATTCATAAAAGGGAAAATTTCGCTTTCGAACAGCGGGGACCTTTTATTGTGCATAATAATGTATAAAACAAGATATACACACCTTCGGGTTTTCTTCTATTTTTTTTCTAGTTCTTGTTCTGTTTATTCCCCTTATTCCCCTGGGAAGTGGAACAGAATTCTTCCTCCCTAAGCATGGGTGTTGTAAGAGGGATAAATGCCCGGGCAAGGGGCTAGGAAACCCCCTTTTCCTGTTTATTTCTAAATGTAAAAGGAGAAACTTTCGTTTTTCCTCTTGGGCCACCCCGCCTCGGTGGGATATGGCCAATGTGTTGAAAGAAGAAGACGACTTTAAAAAAACAGCTAAACCAGTTAGAGCATTGTGTATCTATAGTATTATATACGAAAAAGTATGTTAATGAGACACTATGCAGTTTAATGACATTTTATTAAGATGTTTTGTCAACCGGGGACTATTAATTCTCAGAGAGAATGTACATAGTGGAGAGACGTGAGGTGTGGAGATAGGCGAGTGATACCACCTGCAATAATGTGTTCAGCCAAGTGAAAACTTAAGGGCTTAAAATAAGGTGGGTTAGTAGTCCATCTTCAGGCATTTCCACATAGTTATGTAATATCAGTGTCATGTCCGGTGAGAAATTAGGAATGAACCTGATTTGTGTGATGGTGGTGGTGGTGGTATTAGTGGTAATCAGAGCAAAACACTGCTTAGAATTTTTTCTGATTGCCCCCACTAATGCCTTTTCGTAGAAATTGGATTCATTCCTAATTCGGGAATTATTGGTTCAACTTAGTCTTACAGGATATGACTGCTATTGCAATACTTTTATGGAGATGTACTGAGGTTGGCCTACTGACTTGCCTAATTTTAAAATTTTGTTAGTTTCCATTAGTACATATTACGGCAAGTAACATCATTCGCCTATCTCTATACCTCACATATTGGAGTTTTAAATATCCAGTAAATATGTGGAGCATGTTATATCAGGTGAGTGGAGTATTGTAGATTTTATAAATTGACGTGTGTTGGAGAGTGAGCAAGGTAAATTTATGGAGTAAGAAACTGGTTATTTTCTACTCAAGTCCTGGAGGTGGAAAGTACAGTTCCTGAACTCTACTGGATGTGACTGATGTGGCAGTTTAAAGGGTCCTTTGAACTGTGATGTTGGTGAATTTTGGCAAACAGCAATAAAATTTTGATGGCTAGTGTGTTTCCTCTTATTTCTTTTGGGTCACCAGACCTTGGTGGGTGACTTTAAAAAAAAAATGAAAGAATGGCTGTTTTATAGGTTTACAACTGGACTTTCGTCAGAAGGCATCATTGCTTGACCAGCATTGTTTTCATGAGCACGATAGATTCAGGGGGTTTTGGATTTCGTATATTACTTTTTGTTTTGTTAGCCAAAGAAAAAGTGGAATCTAAGTCTATGGCATCCATAAGAACTACAGACTGCTTCAAGTTCATTTGTAGAGACGACTAGTTTGATTTCACCACCTGTTGGGCGAGTGTGTATAAAGCGTCGAGGATGTGACACCCAGGTACTGTCTCGCCTGCACTACAACTGCTAGCTTGCACCAGTGAGGACAATGGTGGGATTAACCTTCTTTCCTTCATGCCTTGTTTTGATTGACAGTTTAGTTCATGGCACTCATCACATCTGACCCAGTGGCAATATGATTGTTTTAAAGATCTTTGACTTGACACACTATTGGCACAATCTGAAAATGGAGAAGAAAAACCTTTTGAGATCAGCTGCACACCTTTGTGACAACATTGTATGAAGATAAGAGTACATGTAAGCAATTTTATCATACAGAAAGTTACAGCAAAACCATATTCTATACTGTTAAAAATTTGCTTTTTTTTTTCCTATCATTTCATGGAAAGCATAATTCACAAAAAACGAAATGCAATATGATATACACTACTGTTTATATTATTTTTTTTTTTTCAACAAGTCGGCCGTCTCCCACCGAGGCAGGGTGACCCAAAAAAGAAAAAATTCCCAAAAAGAAAATACTTTCATCATTCAACACTTTCACCACACTCACACATTATCACTGTTTTTGCAGAGGTGCTCAGAATACAACAGTTTAGAAGCATACACATATAAAGATACACAACATATCCCTCCAAACTGCCAATATCCCAAACCCCTCCTTTAAAGTGCAGGCATTGTACTTCCCATTTCCAGGACTCAAGTCCGACTATATGAAAATAACCGGTTTCCCTGAATCCCTTCACTAAATATTACCCTGCTCACACTCCAACAGATTGTCAGGTCCCAAGTACTATTCGTCACCATTCAACTCCTATCAACACGCTCACGCACGCTTGCTGGAAGTCCAAGCCCCTTGCCCACAAAAAACCTTTACCCCCTCTCTCCAACCCTTTCGAGGATGACCCCCACCCCCTTCCTTCCCTATGATTTATATGCTTTCCATGTCATTCTACTTTGATCCATTCTCTCTAAATGCCCAAACACCTCAACAACCCCTCTTCTGTCCTCTGACTAATACTTTTATTAAACTCACACCTTTTCCTAATTTCCACACTGAATTTTCTGCATAATATTTACACCACACATTGCCCTTAAACGGGGAACTCCCACTGCCTCCACCGTCTCCTCGCTGCTGCATTTCCCACCAAACTTCACACCCATATAAGAGTGTTGGTACTACTATACTTTCAAAACATTCCCTTCTTTGCCTCCATAGATAATGTTTTTTGACTCCACATATAACTAAAACGCACCACTCACCTTTTTTTCCCCTCATCAATTCTATGATTAACCTCTTTCTTTCAACACACCGGTCGTTATCCACCGGGGCCCGGGGTGGCCCAAAGGAA